AAGGCGAGGGCGACGAGGAGGAGACGACGAGGACGACGTGGAGAATATGAGGGTAGCGAGGAGGAGCATGAGGACAACGAGGAGGAAGAGAAGTGCAAGGATCAGCCTGATCAGGATCGTATCCGGGTGTCTGCGGCAAATCCGCCACCGTGCCAGTGAAACATTCTCTGTGTGGCGACACTTCTCACACCGTCCACGAGGCCGCCACACGAGACGCCTCTCGTCTCGACCTCTTGAGGAGTGCTCACGGGGACTATTTGGACCGCCTTTTGGCTGCCTTGGGGGCTCCCGTGGGGAAGCCCTGGGGTTCTTCTCGGGCACTCTTTAGTCGTCTTGGGGCCTGGGGCCCTGTTGAGCCGTATTGGGGCGCCTTGTGGCCGTCCGGAGGGCTCCTTTGGGAAGTCATGCGGCCGTATTTGTGCGAGCAGCAGCTCTGGACGTGCCCTCAGAATGTCATGCCGCGTTCGAGCCACCATTATTTTGACAAGCTTTGACTCAGACGAGATGCCAGCCGAAGAAGTCGAGCCCGTCGCGCAGAAAGCACGAGGGGTTTCTCCGGAGGCCCTCTTGGGCGAGCTTGGGGCTCTTTTGAGGCCATCCTCGGCCCACTGGAGCCACTCTTGGGGCTGTCAGTGGGCCCCATGTTTGCTTTCGAAGACCGCAGGTGGACCCATCCTCGACCGAAGAGCGCGAAAAGCGAAAGGCAGCGAAACACGCTGAGAAACAGTATGTTTCGGTCTTCTCGAGGGCCTCCTGGAAAGTGTTCTTTGGGATGCGCTGGAGCCTCCTGGATGCCTCTTGGGACCTGCTGGGCGCTCCTCGGGGCTTGCTGGATGCCTCCAGAATTTAGCCGCCTCGCTACGCCCGTTTTGATACGCAACGCGTACCGTGCTCAAAACGTCCGTGTCGATACGTTGCGTGTTGGCTCAACGTATTGGCCCACGTTTTGGCGAAAGCATCGCGTCATACCTGCGTTTCCAGTCTACATGTTGAGCTCCGTGTCAACACGCTACGTGTTGCGTGTTGCGTATCGGGGCAGCTAAGCTTCAGAAGCAATCCAGTGGAGTCCTCTCGCAGGCCCCAGTGGCTCTCTGAAGCCGCCTTGGAGCCCATGGGGAGCTGAGGAGAAAGCCCGCGAAAGGCGCCGGGCGGCCCAGGGAGCCGCGGGAGAGAGAGGGCCGGCGCACGAGGCGGAGGGTGTCGGCAGGGGGAGAGCTTTCTGTGTGCGATGGTGCAGGACTGGCTGGTGGCAACGCCTGCATAGCTCTACCTCTCACTTCACTGTGCGCTGCCCTCAAGGCGCACGCGTCTCTGGGGAGCATCCCGACTCATAGTGCGGGCGCTGTCCCCCAGGGGGTGGACATATGCGGACAGGCTCTCTGGTGCGATCATACCTCTCTCACTTTCAGAAGCCCTACCGGACAGCTCTTGGCATGCGAATTGCGCCTCAACGTGCCAGGGAGCATGCTGGCGGCCTAGAGCTGCATGCAGGCCCAGTGGGAGCCCTGAAGGGTTGCAGGCAGCCCTATGACGATCTTGTTGGGCCGTGTACAGCCACAGCAGGGTCGCAGATGGACCGTGCGCAGCTCTCGCAAGATCCTACTATGAGCACGCAGGCAGCTCTATCATGATCCTCTTAGAGCTGTATGCGGGTCCCACAAGGAGTCCGCCAGAGTTGTCCACAGCCCTATCAGGATCGTATCAGAGATGCAGACAGCCATAGTAAGACCCTGTCAGAGGTGTGGGCACCCTCTGCAGGGTCCGATGAGAGCCGTAGGAAGCCGCAGTAGGATCCCATGAGAGATGTCTATTCGCAGCCCTTGTAGGATCCTGCGAGTTTTGCAAGCAGCCTTCACAGGGTCCCTCTTTGGTATAGGCAGTGCATAAGGGTTTGGGGGTGCCGCATGTTGAGCCCGTGGGTTGCGCCACAGGCTGGCTGCGCCTTGGTTTGCGCATTTGTTCCCCAGGGCTTCTGGGGGCCACGGGTTGTGTTCAGTAGACGTGCCATAGCTTACGCCCAATATTTCGTCATCGGTTACGCCCATGGTTCGCTCGTAGGTTGGAAATGCGAGCCCAGGGATTTGGAGGCACTTATGGGTTGTACCCACGAGATCGTCACAGGTTGTGCCCATGGTTTGCACATGCTGGTCCAGAGTCTTTTAGTGCCATGGGTTGCGCCTTACATTGCTTGCGTTACTTTGCGTTGCTATTCGTTTATATTGCATTGCCCCACACGCACTGCACAGCTTCATTGGTTGGGGCCCACGCTAGACTCATCTTCGATTTCGGCCTCCAGGGGCTGCCGTGGACCACGGGGTGGAAGGCCGTCCCCAGGTACAGTCGACCCACATAATAAGGATGGGCAACCTTCCCAGGGGTACCCTTGCATCCCTGCCTCCTCGGCCCATCCTTGGCCACTTTCGTTGGCCGCGCCCCGCTCGAAGAGCTTCGAGGTGGGCGTCCAAGGCCCTTGCATCCTCATCGCGCATCCTTCCGATACGGGCCGACTGTAGATCCATATCCACCACCCGCTGGGGCACCAGGACGTCGGTTCCCAGGCGCTGGATGTGGACCCAGGCATGCGACGTCCCGATTTTTTCAGAAAGGGGTCCCTGGAAGTCCCGACCCTTTCCCAGGGACCGATTTCACGTCCTGAGTCGTTTTTTGACACTCCCGAGGCCTGGTAAGGGCCCCCGGAGGCCGAAAACAGGCCAAAACCTCCCCCCGTCCTGACTTCCTAACCACGCGAGCATATCGAGAGCCCCCGGGGCCCCGCGCGCCCCGACAGAACTGGCCGCGCCCGTCGGAGGCGAGGGCCCCGAGCGGCGCGGCCGCTGCCAGAGGTGCACGACCGATGGGGCGGCGCCGGCCGTACGGAGGGCCCGCCTCGGGAGGGCGGCGCGCTCCTCTCGGGGGCGCCTCGTCCCCCCCGGGAAGGAGCAGAAGCGCCAGGAGCAGGAGGGGGGAGGAGAGGCAGGAAAGGGAGAGGGGGGAGGGGGAGCAGGAGAAGAGGGACGAGGAAGAGGAGGCGCGAGGAGGAGGAGGAGGAGGAGGAGGAGGAGGAGAAGGAGGAGGAGGAGGAGGGAGGGGGAGGAGGGAGGGAGGAGAGGCAGGAGAAAGAGGAAGGAGGGGGAACAGAAGAAGAAACAAAGCACATAAACATATAAACTTTCGGCGCTTCGCGCGGATTTCTTGGATCTGCGCTGGGCCCCCCTGGCGGCGCCTGCGGCGCCGCCCCCGGCGCCCTCCGCGCGCCAGGGAGGGGGGGCAGGCGCAGATTCAAGAAGTCCGCGCGCAGCGCCGAAAGTTTATGTGTCTCGTTTCTCCCTCTATTCCCCCTCCTCCCTCTTGCTCATGCCTCTCCTCCCTCCTCGGCAGGCGTTTAGGGTCACGGCTTTTTGGGCCCCGGGGTCCGCAGCGCAGCCCTCGCGCGCATCCCGGCGTGCCAGCTGGGGCCGCGCAGTCGGCGTTATGGCGCCGCTTGCCGCCGTGTGGGCCGCCGTGCTCGGCTCCGGCCTGCTGGCGGCGGCCGAGGGCAAGGCGGCGAGCTCGAACCCCTTCCGGGGGCAGGCGTTCTATGTCAACCCCGTGAACGCCAAGGAGTTCGACGGGTCCATTGCGAAGGCTACGGGCAAGACGAAGGAGAACTTGCTGAAGATGCAGAAGGTGCCCTCCGCCTACTGGATCGACGTGAAGGCCAAAGTGCGCGGTACAGACACCAAGAGCCTCGAGGGCATCCTCAAGGACGCCTCCAGCAAGTCGCCGCCAGAGCTGGTGGTGGTCATCTGGTACGACCTCCCGAACCGCGACTGCGATGCCCTGGCCTCCAACGGTGAGATCTGCTGCTACGCGGGCGAGGACGGAAAGTGCGACTACGAGAAGACGGGGGACTGTGCCGAGGGCATCGAAGAGTACAAGACGGAGTACGCCGACCCCTTCATCAAGGTGCTCAAGGAGTACGAGTCCAAGCTGCCCATCGTGGTCGTCGTCGAGCCCGACAGCTTGCCGAACCTCGCGACCAATCTGGACCACCCGCACTGCGGCAACCCCGCCACCCAGGCCGCCTACACGAAGGGCATCGGCTACGCGCTGGAGCAGCTGACGACCCAGGTGCCGAAGGTGTCAGTCTACCTGGACGCAGCTCACGGCGGCTGGGTCGGCTGGGAGGATAACCTGGAAAAGTTCATGGCCCTGTTGAAGAAGGCTGCCTTCCCGATGGCAAAGATCCGCGGCTTTGCCACGAACGTCGCGAACTACCAGCCGTTGGGCCAGATGTGCCCATTCTGCCCCGACCAGGGCTGGCGCAACGCATACTGCCTCAATGGCCGGCACAAAACAGACCCCTGCTGCGCGGACCCCTGCGACCTGCTGGGGCAGTACAGCGCTGGCAACAACGAGCTCAACTACGCCCAAGACCTGATCCTGGCGGCGAACGACCTGCTCGGCATGGACGCGCACGCCGTCATTGACACCGGGAGGAACGGCGTCGCGGACATGCGCCAGGACTGCAAGAATTGGTGCAACCCCCGCAACGCCGGCGCCGGAGTACCGTCCACCACCGACGTGGCCAACACCAGCATGATCGACGCTTACTTCTGGCTGAAGACGCCGGGCGAGTCGGACGGCTGCAGCCAGGAACTGCCCGACGGCGGCGCGTGCCCGCGATTCGACAACATGTGCGGCTCCAGCGATTCCATCGGCTCCCAGACGACCGAGCCCCGGGCTCCCGAGGCCGGCGCATGGTTCGACTACCAGGTGCAGCAGTTGGCTCTCAACGCAAACTTCGAGCCGCCGGCAACCTCTGCACCTGCCGCTGGCGGCAGCGCCGCGGGGTTTGGGTCATGCGGCGCGGACCTGCAGCAGCAGCCCCAGCAGCCGCAGGTCACGCTCCAGCAGCCCAGCCAGGTGCAGCAGCAGGGCAACCCCTGGCTCCAGCAGGCCACGCAGCAGGTGGCGGACGTGCAGGACACTCCGGCGACCGAGGCCTTCTGCTGCTTCGCGGGCAGCGGCGCCGACTTCTGCGCCCCGGACGGCTGCGTCCCCGCTGCGAAGTACTCGTCTGACACCAAGTGCGGGGCGTCGCAGGAGAGTTGCAAGGCGTGCGCAAGCCAGGGCCAGTGGTGCCCAGCACAGCCTGCACAGCCTGCGCAGCCGCAGACTGCACAGCAGCAGCAGCAGCAGCCTGCGCAGCAGCCGCTGCAGCCGGTGCAGGCGGGTGCCGCGCTAGCTGGCGGCGCGTGCTCGGCGGCCTACCAGCAGTGCGGCGGGGTGCAGTGGACCGGCCCAACATGCTGTGCAGAAGGCTCGACCTGCACGCAGAACGGCGACTACTACAGCCAGTGCACGCCATCCGCCGGCGCGTTCGGCGGGGTGCAGCAGAGCGTGGGCGCCCTCGCAGGGGTGGACAGCCTGCTCGGGGTCATGAAGAAGGACGACGAGAGCCGCGCGGACGGGCAGAGCGCCCTCGGCCACGGCGGCCGTCGGACGTCCTTTGGGCAGGCAGCGCTGCTCTTCGCCACCGTGCCTCTGCTGATCGCGGCCGCCGGCGTCGCGTGCCGCCGCAGCTCCGGGCGCCCCAGCGGCGGCTTCCTGCGCCTCCCAGGCGGCGCGGCGCGCCAGGAGCTCACGGCGATGGAGGCGGCGTGATTCCTTGGCGGCGGAGATTGGCGCTGCCGAGGTGGGGGCGGGGCGAGGGCCCATCGAATTGACTGTGCGCGCCCAGCGTGCCTTGGTTGGAGCGTTGAATGCACTTGCACGTGTAACCCTAGAATTTGCCCTGGGGCTGCGTGCCTCGGGCGTTGGTTGTAGAGTCCACGTTCCACTGTGCGCCCAGCGTGGCTGGACTGGATCTCTTGAATTCGAATGCACGCGAGGCCTACAACCTTCGTCAAAATTAGCCTCAAACATGTCTTACGTGGCTGAACTGTTTGTGGGGAGATGCTGGTCAGAGTTGCGGCGACTGCGAGGTACTTGTATGCGCCGCCCCTCCAATGTCGGTCATCATCGGACTTCGGAGCCTTTCCCGGTCAGACAACTTTTGCCTTGGCCCCGACATTGGAGGGGCGTCTATCGACATTGAAGGGCGCGCCGACATCGCAGGGGCGTGGTCACCATTTTTTAGGTTAATTTTGACGAGGGTGGTAGAGTTGGTCCTCCAGCTGCATGTCTCAGGACTTGCCTGCAGCTTCCACGCTTAATTTGCTGGGCCAGGGCCCATCATTTACATGTCTGGCCACAGAGCTCTGGGCACTCGTGATGGCGTGGCTTCTTACGCTGCCCTCCAATCGGTGACACCGTGCCCGCCACCCCATCGCGACCTGGATTCGCCCTCAACGCCAGGTGACCAGAGCGCCCGCCTGTCGCCAAAAGTGATTTTTCAGGAGGGGGAAAAAACACACAGACACAATGAATCGTCGACTCCCAGGAAATATGGGAAAATATGGGAAGGGGGGGGGAAGACAAAACGCCAGAATCTGTGTGTATATATAAGAAATGGGGGACCCTGGGATGTGTGTCTGTTCATTTGTGTGCCCCTGGGCCCCTTCAACCTTTTCGTGCGGGGCGGCCCCTCGCACTGGCGCAGAGCGTGTTCCCAGCCCTCTCGCTCTGCCCTTTCGGCCCGTCCGACTTGCACGACCCCGGGCGCGGGATGCTCCAGGAAGCGCCTCGGCTGACGCCTTCGCCGTCGTCGCCTCCCCCCATCCCTCGTCCTGCTCCCTCCCTCCTCCCGCTCCTGCTCCCTCCCCCTCCTGCTGCTCCCTCCTGCTGCTCCTCTTAAGCTGCCGCTTTCCAAGGTCTGGTGGGGCCACCTGCAGGTTCTGGAGTGGCCTAGAAGGCCTCCGATTGACGAGGTCTCGAGGATGCGACTTGGGTCAGCCGCCCCCTCGTACGCAGTGTTGAGGCTCACCGTGTCAGGCTATTGATAACACGCGGTTGTGCATGGGGGTGGGGCATCCACGTGCAGTCGATGTGCGCGGATCGGGCAATCGATTTCGAAGTAGGTCTTCGTTTTGAAGAGACAGCGCCCCGCGTTCACTCCTCCTCCTGCTGCCCCCTCCGTGGTCCCCCTCCTCCCTCCTCCCCTCCCTGCCTCTGCTCTCCGCATGCCCATCCCACTTCGGCACGCCCCTCACACGTTTCATGGCCCCATGCGGAGCTCCACCTAAGGCCCCAATGGGAAAGTTCGCATAGCACCGCGGCTCCATTTCGGCACACCCCTCACACGCTTCGTGGTCCCAAGGAGCCCCACCTAAGGGCCCCAGTGGGAAAGTTCGCACGGCACCGCCGCCCGATTTCGGCACACCCTTCCCAAGCTTCATGGCCCCACAGGGAGCTCCGCCGAAGGCCCTTGTGGGCAAGTTCGCATGGCACCGCCGCCCAATTTCGGCACACCCCTCACACGTTTCGTGGCCCCATAGGGAGCTCCACCGAAGACCCCAATGGGAAAGTTCGCATGGCACCGCCGCCCCATTTCGGCACACCCTCACACGCTTCGTGGCTCCACATGGAGCTACACCGAAGGCCCCAGTGGGAAAGTTCGCATGGCACCGCCGCTCCATTTCGACACACACCTCACACGTTCCGTGGCCCCAGAGGGAGCTACACTTCAGGCCCCAGTGGGAAAATTCGCATGGCACCGCCGCCCCATTTCGGCACACCCCTCACACGCTTCGTGGACCCATAGGGGGCTCCACGTAAGGCCCCGGTGGAAAAGTTCGCATGGCACCGCCTCCACATTTCGGCGCACCCCTCACACGTTTCGTGGCCCCAGAGGGAGCCGCACCTCGAAGCCCCAGTGGGAAAGTTTGCCCAGCACCGCCGCCCGATTTCGGCACACCCCTCACACGTTTCGTGGCCCCACAGACAGCTCCACCGAAGGCCCCAGTGGGAAAGTTCGCATGGCACCGCCGCCAAATGTCGGCACACCACTCACACGTTTCGTGGCTCCATGGGGAGCTTCACCTAAGGCCCCAATGGCGACGTTCGCATTGCACCGACGCCCGATTTCGGCACACCCCTCACACGTTTCGTGGTCCCATATCAGCCAGCGCTGACTCCAAATAGATAGGGGGACGGGAGGAGGATGGAAGGAGGAGGAAAGGACGACGGGAGCAAGACGGGAGAAGCACCATCAAGCAAGCACAAGCAAGCAAGCGGAAGCAAGCAAGAGCTAGCGATCATGTGCAAGCAATCAAGGGCAAGCAAGAGCAAGCAAGCGATAGCAAGCACGCAAGAGCAAGCAAGCAAGATCACGCAAGAGCCAGCAAGGGCAAGCGACTCATAGGAACCCATAGGGATCCATAGGACTCGCCATTGGAAATAGCTGGGGTGTGCCATTGGAAATAAGGGGGAGTGCCATTGGCAGAAGGGGGGGAGGGGGGCGCCATTTGAAATCCAGGGGGGGCATGGGAAAAGTGTGTGGGGGGGGGGCTAAATACCAATTACGTATGATGCTCGGACTCCTATAGGGCAGGCCTATTCGAAGAATAAGGGGCCCCACCTAAAGCCTCAGTGGGTAAGTTCGCATGGCACCGCCGCCCCATTTCGGCACACCCCTCACACGCTTCGTGGCCCCATAGGGAGCCACACCGAAGGCCCCAGTGGGAAAGTTCGCATGGCACCGCCGCTCCATGTCGGCGCACACCTCACACGCTTCGTGGCCCCAGATGGAGCTACACCGAAGGCCCCAGTGGGAAGGTTCGCATGGCACCGCCGCCCCATTTCGGCACACCCCTCACACGCTTCGTGGACCCATAGGGAGCTCCACCTAAGGCCTCAGTGGGAAAGCTCGCATGGCACCGCCGCCACCTTTCGGCGCACCCATCACACGTTTCGCGGCCCCAGAAGGAGCCGCACCTCGCAGCTCCAGTGGAAAGTTTGCCCAGCACCGCCGCCCAATTTCGGCACACCTCTCACAAGCTTCGTGGCCCCATAGGGAGCCACATTGGAGGCCCCAGTGGGAAAGTTCGCATGGCACCGCCTTCCATTTTCGGCACAACGCTTTCACGCTTCGTGGCCCCATAAGGAGCTCCACATAAGCCCTCAGTGAGAAAGTTCGCAAGGCAAAGCGGCTCCATTTCGGCACACCCGTCACACGTTTCGTGGTCCCGTGGCATTGCCGCTCCATCTCGGCACACCCCTCACACGCTTCGTGGCCCCAGAAGGAGCTCCACCTAAGGCCCCAGTGGGAAAGTTCGCATGGCACCGCCGCCCCATTTCGGCACACCCCTCACACGTTGCGTGGTACCATACGGAGCTCCACGGAAGGCCCCAATGGCGACGTTCGCAGGCGTCTTCCCAGTCGACACACCCGTCACACGTTTCGTGGCAGAAGGGTATACCGCGTGCGCTACTCGGAGTTTGCGCGCCCCCCTCCTTCGTCTCATCTCCCTCGCGGCACTCGCAGCTGCATATGGTTGGGTCTTTCGTCAGTTATATGCGGTCGGGGGGCACTCGATTTTGAACCCCTTTATGACACTTAAGTGTTTGAAGGATTGTGGCGCGCGCGACGACGCGCGCGTGTGCCCTTCGTCCCACTTGTTGCAAGGGATTCTCGCGACAGCACGCGCGCAAGGGCGTTCGCGCGATTCCGACATGCGCGCGCGAGAGGCCCGCTTGGCAGCAAGTTGTGAACATGTTGAAAAACCGATGGGTTGTTTTTGCACAAAGAACAGAGTTCGCAAGAGCTCAAGCGTAAAAGTTGTTTGAAAGTTCGCACTGCGAAATGATGTGTGTGTGGTTTGTTCATATATTTGTTGCGGGACACTGTTTTTTAATTCCTTGCGAACCTTAGCTGGTTTACAAAGGATTTCGGCGTGCGCGCGCGACGACGCGCGCGTGTACACTTCGTTGCATGTGTTGCCCGGGATGTTTGAAAACCCATGATTTGGATGAACGGGTGCGCGCGCAGAGAATGTTCTGCAGAGGATGAGGGGGGGCGGATACCGGCCTGCCCGGTATGGTACGAGCTCATCTTTATGATGGACAATGGGGCAGACTCATATGTAAATTGCAATACGAAAAAGGGGACCGTTAATTCGGGGGTGGTGGTAGATCCTACATGTTCCCTTTTGCACACGTGGATGCAGCGTTCAGAATGTACATAAATTCTCCTCAGGGAGTCGGCCAGGTCTCGGGGGGGTGCAGCGCTGGAGTTGCTGTTGAGGTTGTCATGGGGGTCCCGATTCTTGTAACGGGGCTGAGACACTGGGTTGCGATAGCTGTGAAACGCTGGCACCGCAATCGTGACCCACTAGGCTCTCATACATGGTCCTTCAAGTACTGTCTTTGTCGTCGCCGCCGCGACCCGCCCGCCACCCACCCGCGCCATGACCCCCCCGCGATCTGAACCACCCGTGACCCACCCGCGGCCCACCCGCGAGCCGACCCACCCGCGACCCTCGGCGACTCACCCTTTGCTGTTTGAATGATCGAATCGTTGCCTGCGGCGTGCTGGCACTAAGGAACTGTTCAAAATATCCCTGATCTGCTTTCTGTTAAACTTAATCCGTTTGTTTCTTTACGTTCGTTTGTTTGTTCCGTTGTGCGCCCCTGCCCCTACGACCCGCCGACGACGCGCCCCGCGACCCACCCACGCTGCCTCAGCCAAACTGGGGCCCGCTGCAGGCCCACCCAGCCACACATGGGGCGTCCCAACCAGGGCCCTGCCTTCGAGGATCAATTGAGTTGCCGTTTCTTCCGCGGCGGAAGGCGGCGGAAGTAAGACGAGGCCGCCTCCGCTGGCGGAAAGCGGGCGGAAGGCGGCGGAAGTAAAGGATGTGCGCCCGAGAGATGAACACGGTTTTGGGTTCAGGGTTTCCAAAATCCGCCACACGGCTTCGAGCATCAAAATCGGCGCATGCGGCGGGCCATGCTGAATTGGCATAGGGGGGGGTCCAATATGCGCTCACGCCTGCCGACGTCCTGTCGGCTCACACTCGTGGCTCGCAGTACCCCAGCAGGCAGGCTATGCGCCCCTGATTTTTGTGCTCTGGTGTCGTGCGTCGCCAGCGTCTGACCCAAGATCGTCTTGGATGATTATGCCTGCGTCCGAACGCAGGCTCCGTAGCCCTCTGGCTCAAGCCCACGAAGGCTCGAGCCATGCTCGCGCAGGAACAAAGCAACCATCGAGCGTGAGCCCCCCCGCCCCTCTCGTTCTCCGCGCAGCGCCGATTGTCAAGGGCGTACAAGACGCCCCTACCCTGGTTTACGAGGCGCTGTGCGCTGAACCTCCTGTGGGCCGACAGGGTACACCCTGCGTGATGTGCGGCGTCCTGGCGGCTCTCTAGGCTTTGGGGGTTCCCAGGAGGTTTACAGACCCACTTACTTGTAGCCCAGGGTAGGGTCGTCTTTTCATCCTTCAAGATTGATGACGCAGGTCGCATCGGTCGGGGTGCTCGCCGTCCTCCTCCTCGCAGCGCGCTCGTGCGGAGAGTCATCGGATGCACTGGCCGCGACCACGGCATTGGGTTCCAAGATCTTGCGCCGGGAGGCGTCAGGTGCGCGCCGGAAGGCCGTGTCTGTGTTGCCGTCAGGCGCAATCCAGCGCACTATTTTTGGGTCGAAGACGGCTCAGACCGACGCCGCATCTTACTTGCAAGTGGGAAGGGTAGCCAGGCAAAACGGCCGCGAGGACGTAAACGGAGAGGCGATGGTCGATACACTGAGAGGGCCACTGGACACTGAGCGTCTCGCAGGCGACGTGGGCGACAAGGAGAGCCAGAGTGGCGAGGAAAACGAGCAACAGGTGGATAAGGCATCCGAAAAGGAGTCTGACGGGGCCGACACACTTGCAGAGGGCGAGCCTTGTCAAGTCAAGGGCGAGGACACACTGAAGTGCGCCACAGGACTTCACTGCGGGTGTTTGGCACTGAACCGTGGCCTTCGCGTCTGTCAGCGGCAAGGCCCAGCGGAGCTGCCCTTGTGGGCACAGAAGCTGCAGCGTAAGGGCCTTGCTTGCGAGACTCGTCTGCCCCACGGAGCCAAGCCCATGCCCCAGACCCCAGTCATCGACACCGGCGGCCAGGTCTTGAACCCAGTTCGCTCTCAGAATCCTCACTTAGCGCGCTGGGCCACAGAGTCTGGCCGCGGCTACTACACGCAGTACGTCACGGTCACGAGGCGCGCAGGGAGCGGCGCAGCCCTGGGCGTCGCGATCCTGGCCGGCGGCGACGTGGCACCCGAGAGGGTGCGCGAGGCCGCGTCAACGGTGAAGCATCTGCTCTTGAGAGCCGCGAGGTCCAGCATGATGGGCCCATTTTCCACCACCACGACCATATGTAGGAGAGGGAGGAGGAGGAGGAGGAGGAGGAGGAGGAGGAGGAGGAGGAGGAGGAGGAGGAGGAGGAGGAGGAGGAGGGGGGGGGAGGGGGAGGAGGAGGAGGAGGAGGAGGAGGAGGAGGAGGAGGAGGAGGAGGAGGAGGAGGAGGAGAAGGAGGAGCACCTCCTCATCCTCCCTTCTCCCCCGTCCTACATATTGTAGTGGTGGTGGTGGTGGAAAATTTGCCCATCACAGCACCCTTCTCCAGCGGTTGGCTTGCGCGGGGGTCCGGCTCCTCATCGCCGGTGGCGAGGGCGGCTGGCAGCAGCACCCCGAGGTGTCGCGAGAGTTCACCACGGGCCTGGGAGGTGGCGCTCCCTGGTTCCCCTCCACAGGTCGTGGCCCGTGTTCCGACCGCCACTGCCGCTGGCAAGAGCTCGATGGCCTATGGCCTCGAAGACTCCAGTGCGCCTTGGCCGCAGCCGCTTTGCTGAAGTCTGCGAGGCCTCGGAGGCCATTGGGCTCCCCACCGCTGCGGTGGCTGTGGCACCTCGGGCCCCGAGCAGGGATCAGTGCAAGCGAGCCAGCCATCATCCTGGCAGAGGAGCTCTTCCACACGATCCAGTACACCGCCCTGAGGCCGCGCGAGGTCTGCATGTACCACCGCGCGTACGCTCACGCGGTGAGCGCGGGTCTCTACACTACCGACGGCAGCGGCTCCGAGGTGGAGGGCGAACCAGTGCCCACCGTTCAGGCGGGCGGCGGGGATGTGCAGAGATGCTTTCTTGGGGGTCGGCGGCAGGCGCCACATCGACGACGACGATGACGACGGCGAGGCCGTTCCGTAGAACGGTCGATTCGGGGTCGGCCCCGGCTTTCTGCGGCCTTCGGTGGGCGGCGGTGGCGAAGGCATCGTCGTCGTCGTCGTCGTCGTCGTCGTCGTCGTCGTCGTCGTCGTCGTCGTCATCGGGTGTCGTCGGGCGCTGTCTTCGTCGTCGTCGTCGTCGACACCTTCGCCGCCGCCGTCGTCGTGGCTGTCGCCGGCCCCCCTCCCTGGGGCCTTCGGGAAAGCATGCGTGCAGATCCCCAGTTGGGCAGTGCCAAGGGTGGTCACCACTGGGCGGATCACCAGAGTCTCCTGGGGACCGCGGTACCAGGATGGAAGCTCGAGGATTTTTTCACGTTTGGGGTCGCTCTGGGGGGCTCTGAGGTGCTCGGGTGCACCATTTCCGAGAGGAGTCGGCGGCGGCTCCTCTCGGAAGTGGCAAACCCTTTTGTGATGACCCCCCTTGGCATCGGCTGGCCCAGGCGGACGAGTACATGGCTATGGCGCTGCATCGCTGGTTCGGCAGCGGCGCGTCGGCCCACGAGTATCGAAGACGCCTACGGCGAGTCACTGCCGCCCCCTGCCCCTTTTGGAAGCGCCTGTGCGGCCAGACGGCGTGGCCAGAGCTCGGCCACGCCATCGGATCCTGTGTTTCCCCAGCCGTGGTGGAAACGCTTCGGGGAGGAGGAGGAGGAGGAGGAGGAGGAGGAGGAGGAGGAGGAAAAGAGGAGGAGGAGGAGGAGGAGGGGAGGAGGAGGAGGAGGAGGAGGGGAGGGGGGAGGGGGAGGGGGAGGGGGAAGGGGGGGGGGAGGGGGAGGGGAGGGGGGGAAGGGGGAGGGGGAGGAGCACGTGGGAGAGCACGCCTCGGCCCCTGCGGGCAGGCCCCTGAGGGGGGCGGGGGCGGGCCTCGTTCCGGGCAACGGCGCGGCGGCGCCCAAGCGGGCAGAGCCCCAGGGGGCCGCGGAGCAGCTGCGGACGGGGCGCGCGCAGCTTCGGCGGCTGGATCCTCGAGCATTCTGCCTGTTGGCCGAGGTGGGCACGCCGCCTCCTCCTCCTCCTCCTCCTCCTCCTCCTCCTCCTCTCCTCCTCCTCCTCCTCCTCCTCCTCCTCCTCCTCCTCCCTCTCTCCTATCTCCTCCTCCTTCCTCCCCCCTCCCCCCTCCTCCCCTCCCCCTCCTCTTCCCCGTCGGTCCCCCCCCGGGGGCGTGCGTCTCGGGAGGGGCTCCGCTGCTTCGGCCGCTCCTCGGATCGGGGTCGGAGGGCCCGTTCGTGGCCCAGGCTCGCCGTGGCCAGAAGCGTCCCTCTGCTCCTCGTTCAGCGCTCCTTCTTGCCGGCGTCACCCAGCATACTAAGCACTACGTGTGCGTCCCCCCCCCATGGGCGACGCGCGCACCGAGAAACCTTCTAGTATATGCATCGTGGCGGGCCCTTTCTGGCCCCACCGCTCGGGAGTCGATATCCTACAAGATGCGTATGCTGTAATGTTCGGGCCGGACGCGCGCCTCCAAGGAGAGCATATAGTTGTACTACCCTCGTCAAAATTAACCTCAAAAATGGCGGCCACGCCCCTGCGATGTCGGCGCGCCCTTCAATGTCGATAGATGCACCTCTAATGTCGGGGCCAAGGCAAAAGCGGTCTGACCGGGAACGACTCGGACGTTCGATGAAGACCGACATTGGAGGGGCGGCGCATACAAGTACCTCGCAGTCGCCGCAACTCTGTCCAGTATCTCCCCACAAGCAGTTCGGCCACGTAAGGCATTTTGGAGGTTAATTTTGACGAGGGTTGTAGTCTGTCTCTGTGCGTCCCATATTGTAGCACGATGACTGTGCGTGTTGTGCTCGCTGGCTTGCGTGATGGCGCCCGCAGGGCAGGAGCCACGGCCAGGACCCCTTTCGGGAGGGCAGCCCGCAGACATAGCACGCTCGCACCGTGGGGCGTGGGGCTCTCTTGCGGTCGGACCGAGGTGTGAGATCGAGGTCGGCTCGGGGATCACTCGCGCGATTCCAATAGAAAGCGACTTAGGAGTTTTCTGTTTTCTGGCCGCGCCGTCGTCGGTTCGCTTTCGGCAAAGGTGACTAACGGGTCGGGCGGCCGCGCCGTCGTCAGAATTCCCAACCCCTCCTCTTCGCTGCAATATTCCCGCAGTTCCCCAGGTGGCGGTCGTCAGGTTTTTGTGACCCTCTCTTAGTGGTGAGGGAGGTGTTTCCGTCAGTTTTGCGGCCCCCCCTTTCATTTTTTCCTGGTGAGTCCACGTCGTCGGTTCTGACGGTTCTTGGGCTTGATATTGATACTTCCCTCGTGATGGTCGGGGAGGGTACCCTGATGTTCGTCGGTAGCAAATCATGGGAGCCGGGCGCACCCTCTTAATACCAGTTTTAGCGTCGACTAGCGTTAATTTGCGTCTGGGAGTCGATGAGATAGCGCCGATTTAGCGTCGGTTAGCGTCGGCTAGCGTCGATTTAGCCTCGATTAGCCTCGACTAGCCTCGATTAGCCACGACTAGCATCGACTAGCGTCGACTAGGCTCGATTAGCGTCGATTCGCGAGAGCAGGCAAGATGGTATGGGAGGCTCCCATGAGTTACCACCGAAATGTTTGTGTTTGTTGGATGTTATTGTCCATCTTGGGGAGGGTACCCTTGGCTGTTCTGTGTGTTTTGGCCAGCGGAGGGTCTCGCGTTCTTGAAGGGTTGTTTCTGTCCTAGGCCCGGCCGTATCCTGTGGCCCTCTGGGGCCGTCCTGGGGGCCGCGGGGAGCCCCTGACCTGGTCGACTGAGCAGGGCCCGCAGGGGGCCCGCCGAACGCTTGGCGCTTCGCGGGTTCCCACCAGCCCACCCAGAAGCGATCGCCAGGGCGAGCTGCCCCAAGGAAGGGAGCGCAGGAGCGCGCAGTGGAAGACGAGGAGGCGAGGCAGCCATATCAAGCCGAAGGGCGGGATCGGCCCGAGCAGACGTGTGGGGAGCTGCGGAGCCTGCCCGTCGAAGCAGAGGGAGGCAGAGAAGAAATTGGAGAAGGAGGAGGTGGATGGGGGAAGCAGGAGGTGGAGGGGGAGGAGGAGGAGGCAGGAAAGAAATTGGAGGAAGGAGGGGGCCTCCACCCTCCTTCAGGCGCGGCAGGAGGGGCAGGAGGTGGAGGGCAGGAGGGCGCGGCAGCAGGTGGAGGGGCAGCAGGAGGTGGATGGGGGAGGAGGCCGGGAGGAAATTGGAGAAGGAGGAGGGGGAGGGGGAAGGAGGCATCCGGGCCCCGCTTGGAACTGCCTGCCTCGGGGCCTTTCAGGCCCTCTGTGAGACATCGAGGAAGCAGTACAGAAAGCAGAGGGGGGCACGAAGCATTGCCCCACGCGAGCCGGAGAAATCGCCTCCTGGGTTGCTTTTTGGGCGCTCTCGGAGCCGTCTTGGAGCCTCGATGCGTTCCTGGGGCTCTTCTTTGGCGACGTTGGATCCGCTTTGAGTCTCCAGAAGCCTGGCGGAGACTTTTAGGATTTGGGCTTCTTTTTGGGTCTCTTGGAGGCACGCTGGAAGCCATCTCGGGGGATGTCTTGTGCGACGTTGGAGGCCATCTTAAGCCATCCGAAGCCGTCTTGAACGCTCTGACCCCTCGCGTTCCTCCCGCCCCGTCCAGGACGAGGAGGAGGAGGAGGAGGAGGAGGAGGAGGAGGAGGAGGAGGGGAACCAAAGCAGGAGCCAGATGTGCGCGACGCTCGCAAAGGGCGACCTGCGCGCCAGGTTGCGTCTGATGCGCCACGTGCTCCTCGCACGTTGCAGTGCGCCACCTGCCAGGACGCGAGCTAAACTCAGGCGATCGCAAACGAGGATCAAGGGGGCGTGCATTAGCGACGGGTCCCGTTTCCATTGGAAATCGCGTATTTCCGCCGCCGAACGAGGCAGCACCGGCCGCATTTTGGGGAGGGCACCTCCTTCGATCCATGGATGTTGGGGGTGGCGCATGCTTCCTGTTTGGCACCCCGTCGAGTGGAGGAGGGGTTGTTCATTGAGAAGGGTCAGTGGTGGTAAACTCTTCCCCGAAGGGGAGCAATTTGATTGGAAGACCGAACTACTTTAACCGCCTACGCCCAGAGGGCTGCTTGAACTACTGCAGATGGTTGTGCTATCACGTTTCCCCCCACAGTTGCATGAAATGTTTAGACAGCCAATTAGCATACTATTACTCAGCGATGCTTCCGTGGGCCGTAATCATAGTTATTACTAGTTTTGCATTTTGGTCGAGGTCTTCCGGAGCGACGACGCCTGGAATCCAGAACCCCACAAGTTTCCTTGGCGTGTGAACCCGAACTTCGGCATGGCTGTCGCGGAGGTCGACACCTTCTGCCAGCCCTTGCTGACGAAGCTGGCCGTGGGCTGCCCCTCGCCCGAGGTGGAGTGGCAGTTGCCGCCCTTGCGCAGGCTCCGATGACAGCATGCCCACAGGATCGAGAGACGCGCTGCAAAAATGAGGTCGGACCCGCGGCGCATGGCAAGATTCGGGGCCCATGTGGTAGGATCTGCGGTTCGTGGTACGTTGATGCATCCCATGAACAGCTTGAAGCAGCTGATGATGTGATCTGCCGCTCGCGGCTCGCAGGTACGGCCCGCACCCCACGTCGGTCGCGGGCGAAAAACAGATCCGTATCCGCGGCCTCGCGGGCCGCGCCTCTGGACAGCGACCCCGCGGATGCGAGGCGTTTTGTTCGCGGGTGCCTTGCGCGGGACGTATCCGTGTGACCGCAAGGTTCACCCGCCGTTCGTCCGCCGCGCGGCGGTTGGTGGTAATTCATCCAGGCTCACTCCGTCGTTCATCGCGGCGACCACTTGACTTGGGGGCGTGCCTTTCGTCGTTCCTCGAAGTCCGCCACTCTGGGCGCGTTCGTTCCGTCGTGTGTCGTCCCTCGGCCCATAGAACCCCAGTTGGACCTTGGTAGGACTCCAGCAGAATTCCACTGGGGTTCCAGTCACATGCCAAGTCGGTCTTACTTGAGAAACACAAGATTTTTCAATCACGTCTTAATGATATCCCAATGATACCCCAATCGGGCGACCATTGGATTCCAATGATTATCCAATAGGGTTCTGCCAGTACCCCCTAGTATGTGCTGTCGGAGTTGATTTGTGCGGGTCGATGGGCGTTGTCGCTTTCTGCTAAATTGGTGATACGTGGGTTGACATTGAAGATTCGGGGTGATACGCAGTTCAATGGCAATGTATATATGGTCCGCGGTTGTTCGTCCACAATGTCTCAGGAATGGGTACGGATTGAGGCAGTCGCTTATTCGCCGTTCAAGGAAATTGGTTTGCACAGCAGACGCTCGTCGTTCGTTTATCCCGGGGGATAGGTATGTCCATGATTGCCCAGTTGTCTGCCGGTTCGTGAGAGACTCAAGTGTTATCATGCGGGAGATCGTTGGTCGATCTTCTCGCGCTGTGACTTACATGTGTAGAGATCCCCCTCATGTGACCCCGTATCCACGGGATCGAGCCCTGGAATCCAGACAGCGAGGGCGCGGATACGGACATGTTCGCAGCTCGTGAACCAGCCCAAGAGAGCTTGGGACTGTCCACGATGGCCCAAAGAGTCCCCATGGCAGCGCAAAGAGGCGCATTCTAGAGGCGCACGAGAGGCAACGAGGGCGGCCCCAGGACGATTGTAAGCCGCAACGGCGTTCAATGGCGTTGGCCTTGCACGTTTTCCGATCAAAGATGATCGGCTAAATGTAGGAGTGACCTTTCGCCAGAGTGACCTTTGGTGCGGGCTCATCGGGGCCCCCCCGATCGCTGAGCACAATGCGATAGCAGCGGCCTGCGCGCTTGGGTTTGGCCCCCTCGCGCCCCCCAACAGCCGCGCACCAAAGGTCACTCTTGCCTAGGGTCACCCTTACGTGTAGCCGAGATTATTTCAGGAGAGCCGTGGGGGCCAGATATGGCCGAAAAGCGGTCCCTAAGGCGGCCTGCCACCTGCAGACGGCAAGCAGGCCAGGCCACGAGAGACCCTTCCTGGTTTTTACGATGCCCCTTGAGGGCTCAAAATTTGCGGCGGCCAGACAGTATTTCCCCTGGGCAGAGAGATGGGAGGGGGGGGAGAGGAGGAGGAGGAGGAGGAGGAGGAAGAGGAGGAGGAGGAGGAGGAGCAGGAGGAGGAGGAGGAGGAGGGAAAGGAGGGGAAGTGGCGTGAAAGGGGGCAGGAGGAAGTGGTAGAGGAAGGGCGGGAGGAAGAGGAGAACGAAATGGCGGAGGAGTGGAAGAGCTCCCATAATGGTGGGAAGCGGAAGAAGAGGATGAGGAAGGGGAGGAAGGGAGAGGAGATGGAGGAGGAGGAGGAGGAGGAAGGTTGAGGCGAAGGAACGGGGGGGTATGGCGAGGGGTTGGCGGTGCGGCAGAGGCCGAAGAGGCCGAAGGAAGCCGAGCTCTGGAGAACGCCGGCGCCGCCGGCCGCACTGGCGCGCGGCAGCCGCCGCGCACCCCCCCTGCTCCGCAGCTCCGGCTCCAAGCCCAAGCAGCCGAAGCACGTGGTGATACCGGACCTGCACCGGGTGGCCCAGGCATCCCTCCTGCTCCTCCTCCTCCTCCTCCTCCTCCTCCCCTCCCCCACCTCCTCCTCTATTCTCCTCCTCCTCCTCTTTCCTCCTCTCTCCTCCTCCCTCTCCCCTCCTCCTCCTCCCCTCCTCCTCCTCCCCCCCCCTTCCTCCTCTCTCCTCCTCCTCCTCCTCCTCTCCCCCCCCCTCCCCTCCTCCTCCTCCGCCTCCTCCTCCACCTTCTCTTTTTCCTCCTCCTCCTCCTCCTCCTCCTCCTCCTCCTCCTCCTCCCCGGGGCCATCGGCGCAGAGGAGAGCAAGTCGAGACAGCTGCAGTGGGCCTTCGTGGGGAGGCGGGCCTCGCCTCCAGGGCTGGAGGCGCGGCTCGGATAGCTGGTGAAGTTTGGGCCTCGCGGGGGGTCATCGGGCCCCGGGGCCGACTGTGAGCCGCCTGCGGTCTCAGCTCCTCTCCTCTCTCCGGTCTCTCGGCAGCGACGGCGGCGGCGGCGGCGGCGACGACGGAAGACTAGCTGTCGCTGAGGTCCTGCTGCCAGCGCACTCGCCGGCCAGCTCCATCCCAGAGGGGGCTTTCTCAGAAAGTTTCCCGAGGGGGGGTGGAGGTTTGGGCAGGTCCTTGAAAGGGTCTGGGAGGTTATGTGTGGGCCCCGTAGGTTTGGAAGGCAATCGGAACTTGTGCGGAAGGGCTTCTCGCATATGTTCAAATGGTTTGGACAGGTTTTCGAATGTGTTCGCAGGCTTGGGGTGGTTCGCGGGAGTCTCTGGAGGGGCGCGAGGAGGAGGAGGAGGAGGAGGAGGAGGAGGAGGAAAAGAAGGAGGAGGAGGAGGAGGAGGACGATCACTGCGGTTTCTTCGGTGCTCTGTGCAGTACTGCCTGGGCGCCCCCCTCCGCCGCCGTCATTTTGAATTGAGTTTGGCCTGCGAACCCGCCGCCATTTTTCTGTCGCCTAGTTGCGGTTGCGGTTGCGCCCGCGGGCCGGTTGGAATGTGTTGTTCGGTTGGAAATTGACAAGTATCGCCATTCCGCGTCAAGCGGCACGCCCTTTTCTAAGATAATTGCGACTATGTCTCTGGAGAGTCGCGTTGCACGGCATGCCCTTCAAGAGAGCACAACAAATTCTCCTTTGAGAGAATCATATGGTTTACATTCACGCTTTACGCGGTCAAATATTACTTTCTTGTTTGTTGCTTTGACGTCCCGTTCGTTTTGTTGGTAATATAGTATGTGTGCATCCTATCATTCGAGTTCTGATGCTTGTATATTCGTTGTAGTTTTATCCAACGGGTTGCAAAATGCAGCCCGGCATAATAATTCCGTACTGGTCACAAGACGATTCGCCGCCAATTTTGGATGGGGAGTTCCAGCTGGTTTGCATTAGTTGTTTTGCTTCGCCGCCGTTTTTTTGCTCTTGCGTCAGTTACTGTTTCAGCTTTTTTCTCCGCCCGTTTATTTCCTGATATAGACTGTGTTTCATTGCTTCCGGTGTGATGGAGGACGAGCAGGAGAAGGAACAGGACCAGGAGCAGGAGCAGGAGGGGGAGGAGAAGCAGGAGAAGGAGGAGGAAGTTGGAGAAGAAGAAGGAGGAGAGGGAGCGAAGGGGTCGGGAGCGAGAGAGGAGTTGGAGGCCAGGGGTTATAAGGTGGCTCTTGAAGGTTCTAGGGTCAGGGAGTTCATGAGGCAGGACGGCATAGCTTTCATGAGGCCTGGTTCTCAGATGTGTTCTGAATATTATTGCTCCTCCTCCTCCTCCTCCTCCTCCTCCTTGTCTTCCTCCTCCTCCTCCTCCTCCTCCTCCTGCTGAAGAGGGAACTTGGAGGGAGGGTCTGTTCCAACATCGTTGATGAGTCTCGGGTTGACACTGGTCCTCCTCCTCCTCCTCCTCCTCCTCCTCCTCCTCCTCCTCCTCCTCCTCCTCCTCCTGGCGTGGACTCACATTGAAACAACCATTGGCGGCTGGACCACGAAGCACCGCGTCAAGGCGGAAAGCCCACGCCCATGCTTGTTCGCATGCCGAGGCCGCCCAGATGCGTTGCCTCACTGCCCAACCTGTCCCAGCCTCCTTTGTTTGACGGGCCCTCTTCCCCCCAGACCCTGTGGTCCGCACAGGGCTCGGCCTGCCGCACGAGTGCGGTGCCCAGCTCGAGCGCGAACACGCCCACGCACTCGCAGTGCCGAGCTTCCGCTGCTGCAGCGAGATCTGTCACGCGGCAACCTCGCCACGGGGTGGCGCTGCTCCACTCACTCAGGGCAACTCAGCAAGCTGCCTTCGGCGTGTAGGTGAGCTCGGCACCAGCTACGCTTCATGCTACTTGCGCTCCTCCTCCTCCTCCTCCTCCTCCTCATCATCCTATTGCGCGTAGGTTTTGGAAGTGGTTCCCAGAACGTCCCGAAATTGGGCGACCTGACATTGATCTGAGATGGGCTAGGCTGAAGGACACTCCCCAGCAACTCGCCACCTCACGAATGTGGCCTCATCTAAAAACGCTCGCTGGTGCATGGATCACATTTGCCCCGGTAGGAATTCACACCTAAAGGATGCAGATTCGGCTACACCGATGAATGTTTTGGCGTAGAAGTGCGCGCACCATATTCAATTGGGCATTATTTTCACTGCCCCCGCCTCGCTCACTTCCTCGCCGTCCCCCGCGCCATTTTTCCTGGTGATCCCATCACCCGTCTGGGACTCGGCCCAGAGTCAGCATATAATGTAGCAGAAGAGTACCCAAAACATCGTCTCGATAGGAATTGGGCTTTTAGAGTAGCTGGAGAGTGCGATTCTCTCACGCTTGTGCCAATTAGTTGACGGTGCTAGCTTTCCATATCTACCACAATTTTCGTGCAGAGCTTCTGCAAGCTCCACACCTAGAATGCAACTATAATGCTATCATG